ACCGGTACCGTAGTCCTGTAGTGCGCTCTGCGCGCTCTTGGCCCTTATTACCGGTACCAGTAGTCCTGTAGTGCGCTCTCTTGGACCTATTACCGGTACCGTAGTCCCGAAGTGCGCTCTCTTGGCCCTTATTACCGGTACCGTAGTCCTGTAGTGCGCTCTCTTGGACCTATTACCGGTACCGTAGTCCCGAAGTGCGCTCTCTTGGCCCTTATTACCGGTACCGTAGTCCTGTAGTGCGCTCTCTTGGACCTATTACCGGTACCGTAGTCCCGAAGTGCGCTCTCTTGGCCCTTATTACCGGTACCGTAGTCCTGTAGTGCGCTCTCTTGGACCTATTACCGGTACCGTAGTCCTGTAGTGCGCTCTCTTGGACCTATTACCGGTACCGTAGTCCTGTAGTGCGCTCTCTTGGACCTATTACCGGTACCGTAGTCCCGGAGTGCGCTCTCTCAGTCCAGACTGTTCCCATACTAAGCTGCCAGTTCCCATGTGAATCTCTGTTCTGATTGGCTACATTTTGCCATGAATTCTCCGACTCCAGTTATGCCTGTTGCTGGGCTGCCTGCTGATTGGTGCACGTATTTCCCATAATCCCTTCTGCTCTGACACTCAGGCATCTGACATCTCCTCCAGCTCTAAAATCTGGAATAGGCATGAGATATGGTGGAAGATAATTGGGGGGGGTCCAGCTGTCTTTTATATAAAAAAGCCTATCACCCCCCCCCCCCCCCCCCCCCCAGAGCCAGGCCAAGGGGTGAGGGGGGCGGAAGAGATGGCCACCTTGGGCAATGCAAACCAGGGTCAGGACCCGCGACCTATGCTGCTGAAGTAGTTCACAGCTTAATGGGGGGGGGGAGGGGGGTGCACTTTGGCCTGTAGCATCGTATTGCAGTGGGAGGGGCCTCGACAACACCTTTTTATAGGTAGCTGGGGGGGGGGGCGTAGCTTTGTCCATCATGTGACCCTTGTCACCAGATATCCGGCGGTGCAGACGCTGCGGGAACAGGTTCTGTTGCGCGGACGGTTTCGTCGGACGGAACGGCGCGCGGCGAGAACGCTTCGTCTCCTTTTTGAAGACACATTGAACTCTCGGTACTTGAATCGTCTTTGTGAGAAGAGTTGTTTTTATAGGATGTTGGGACATGCAATTTAATGACTTTTTCTACATTTCGCTGTATTTCTGCATTTATTGGCAGAATCGTTTCAGGGGAATTTAGCTTTTTACTGATTGGTGGAGGTAATGGACTTGAAAATGACAATTTGTGTGGTTTGTTTTTTTTTGGTTTTTTTTTTTTCCCTCCTCTTTTTTTTATCGCTTTCCTTCCTGATGGTTCTGACTGCTTCAAGAAAACGTCCTGGAGGCAGTCCGTATCTTCCCATCAGGCATCTGGACCTTCAAGTGAGATGGCGGTTGTCAGAGGAGTCCTCGGTTGTCGAAGGCCCCTCCTTGGCTGTCCTATGAAGGAATGGTGCTGGGTAAAGATGGCACAGTGGTCGGGGCTGCTTTGTCGGTACTAAAGGATGCTGGGTAATATCACAGCAGTCAGGTCTCCTTATTGGGCGGTACTAAAGGATGCTGGGTAATATCACAGCAGTCAAGTCTCCTTATTGGGCGGTACTAAAGGATGCTGCTGGGTAATCTTTGTGGTCAGGTCTCCATATTGGGCGGTACTAAAGGATGCTGGGTAATCTTTGCGTCAGGTCTCCATATTGGGCGGTACTAAAGGAATGCTGGGTAATATCACAGTGGTCAGGTCTCCATATTGGGCGGTAATAAAGGATGCTGGGTAAAAATGGCGCAGTGGTCAGGTCTCCATATTGGGCACTAAAGCTGGGTAATCTTTGCGGTCAGGTCTCCATATTGGGCGGTACTAAAGGATGCTGGGTAATATCACAGTGGTCAGGTCTCCATATTGGGCGGTACTAAAGGATGCTGGGTAATCTTTGCGGTCAGGTCTCCATATTGGGCGGTACTAAAGGAATGCTGGGTAATATCACAGTGGTCAGGTCTCCATATTGGGCGGTACTAAAGGATGCTGGGTAAAAATGGCACAGTGGTCAGGTCTCTGATATTTTTACCCAGCATCCTTTAGTACAGCCCAATATGGAGACCTGAGTGCTGTGATATTACCCAGCATCCTTTAGGATCTGGGGGAGAAGTTCTGTCGTCCTCTCTGCTGCCAACTGCTGAGACAAGGTGGGGGCGGAGATGAGGGGGTGCCGCAGCTGCATAGAGAGACGCAGGATCTGGCGGATGAGTTGTTTCCTCTCGGCTGCCTGCTGTTGAGATTGGGGGGGGGGGGGGGCAGAGATGAGGGGGTGCTGCGGCTGCACAGAGAAGTGCAGGATCTGTAGGAGGAGTACGGTTGTCCTCTCTGCTGAGACAAGGTGGGGGCGGAGATGAGGGGGTGCCGCAGCTGCATAGAGAGACGCAGGATCTGGCCGATGAGTTGTTTCCTCTCGGCTGCCAACTGCTGAGATGGGGGGGTGCACAGAGACGAGGGGGTGCTGCGTCTGCACAGAGAGGTGCAGGATCTGTAGAAGTACTGTTGTCCTCTATGTGGAGACAAGGTGGGGGGGCAGAGATTAGGGGGAGGGGTGCCGCAGCTGCAGGAGAGGTGCGAGGGTCTCATGAAATGGCCTCGGCCCTTGTGTTTGACACGTGCTGCGGAGTACACTCCTCTGTACATGCATCAGCTGTGACATTCGGTCCATAGTATCTGATCCCACGTGACAGGACCGGCTTGTATCATGTAGTCCATGTTGTCCGGTCCCGTAGGGCAGGCCTGGCCTACACATTCCGGCATTTCCCACAGTCCCACGGATTAAATTGGGGGGGGTGGGGAGGGATTGAACAATTGCCCCAGCTGGATGGAGATTGCTGTTCCGGTGCCATATCTATCAGTGTTGTAGAGGAAGGACTTGTTTCTAGGACACCCCCATTCCTTCTAGGACCCCCCCCCCCACCCCCATTCCTTCTAGGACCCCTCCATTCCTTCTAGGACCCCTCCATTCCTTCTAGGACCCCTCCATTCCTTCTAGGACCATTAGGGACCAAAAGGGCTCTTTGTAATCTCAACCCTTGAATTTCCAGATGCTAAAATCCATTCTTTCTTTTTTTTTTTTCTGAAATGAATCTTCCGCCTCCAGCATGTGTTCCGGTGATTGAGGAGAATCCGTGACATTTCAGTTGCACTCATTTTATGTATTAAAGAATGCTATGTTTGACCTAAAAGGTTTATTGTTTTTGGGTTTTTTTTGTAGTCTTTTTTTTTTTTGTTTTTAATAAATCTATATACCATTGTTATGTATTCTGCGGGACAGAAAGTGATTCAGTTTAATATTAAAAAGCTTTGGAGGATTATGCAAACAGGTTCCGATAAGCTATTAGGATGCAGTAAGTGCACAGCGCGTTCCTGGCGGATCTGAGAAGGGAGGGGGTGAAGGAAGTGCACAGCGCGTTCCTGGCGGATCTGAGAAGGGAGGGGGTGAAGGAAGTGCACAGCGCGTTCCTGGCGGACCTGAGAAGGGAGGGGGTGAAGGAAGTGCACAGCGCGTTCCTGGCGGATCTGAGAAGGGAGGGGGTGAAGGAAGTGCACAGCGCGTTCCTGGCGGATCTGTGAAGGGGGTGCAGGAAGTGCACAGCGCGTTCCTGGCAGATCTGTGAAGGGGGTGCAGGAAGTGCACAGCGCGTTCCTGGCGGATCTGAGAAGGGAGGGGGTGAAGGAAGTGCACAGCGCGTTCCTGGCGGATCTGTGAAGGGGGGTGCAGGAAGTGTACAGCGCGTTCCTGGCGGATCTGTGAAGGAAGTGCACAGCGCGTTCCTGGCGGATCTGTGAAGGAAGTGCACAGCGCGTTCCTGGCGGATCTGTGAAGGAAGTGCACAGCGCGTTCCTGGCGGATCTGTGAAGGAAGTGCGCGGAATTTCAGCTAGGATGTGACGGAAACTTTCAGACAGTTTTTAGTACACATTTCTGACGGCCTTGTGTGGGATCCTTCCACCGCCTCACTCCACATTTCGGATGGTCCGTCCGGGATCCCACCGCCGCCACACTCTACATTTTGTGTGACGGTCTGTCTAGGATCCCACTGTCGCCTCACTCCACGTTTTTGACGGCCCATCTGGGGTCCTGCCGTCGCCTCACTCCACATTTCTGGTGGTTTGTCCAGGATCTCGCCACAGTTCTGGCGGTCTGTCAGGGATCCTACCACCGCGTCACTCCACATTTCTGAAGGCCCATCTGGGATCCCACTGCCACTTCACATATTTGACAGTCTGTCTGGGATCCCACCACCACCTCTCTCCACATTTCTGGTGGTTTGTCTGGGATCTCACCACATTTATGAAGGCCCATCTGGAATCCCACTGCTTCTTCACATATTTGACAGTCTGTCTGGGATCCCACCCTTGCCTCTCAATATTTGCGGTGGTTTGTCTGGGATGTCACGACATTTCTGCAGGCCCATCTGGGATCCCACCACTGCCTCACTCCACATTTCTGAAGGCCCATCTGGGATCCCACCACTGCCTCACTCCACATTTCTGAAGGCCCATCTGGGATCCCACAGCCACTTCACATATTTGACAGTCTGTGTGGGATCCCACCCCCGCATCACTCCACATTTCTGAAGGCTCATCTGGAATCCCACTGCCACTTCACATATTTGACAGTCTGTCTGGGATCCCACCCTTGCCTCTCAACATTTGTGGTGGTTTGTCTGGGATCTCATGACATTTCTGAAGGCCCATCTGGGATCCCACCACTGCCTCACTCCACATTTCTGAAGGCCCATCTGGGATCCTACCACTGCCTCACTCCACATTTCTGAAGGCCCATCTGGGATCCCACTGCCACTTCATGTATTTGACAGTCTGTGTGGGATCCCACCGCCACCTCACTCCCCATTTCTGATGGCCCGTCTGGGATCCCACCACCGCCGCCTCACTCCACATTTTTGGTGGTTTATCCGGGATCTCACCACATTTCTGAAGGCCCATGTGGGATCCCACCACTGTGTCACTCCACACTTATGAAGGCCCATCTGGGATTCCATTGCCAGTTCACATATTTGACGGTCTGTCTGGGATCCCACCACCTCACTCCACATTTTGGACGGTCTGTCTGGGATCCCACACCTCACTCCACATTTTGGACAGACTGTCTGGGATCCCACCATCACTCCACATTTTGGACGGTCTGTCTGGGATCCCACCGCCGCCTCACTCCACATATCTGGTGGTTTGTCCGGGATCTCGCCACAGTTCTGGCGGTCTGTCTGGGATCCCACCGCCGCCTCACTCCAGTCTCTAATGACTTTTTCTTCCTGTTTTTGAGGAATTTCCGCATGTTACTCTGCTACTTTGTTCTGACTGTTGTTAGTGTAAAACACGTTCTGTCTTTATGGTGTCATGAGGAAATCATATAGGTAGACTCAATGGGTTTCACAAGAGGCAATTTGTACGTTTTTCGTGTTACTCCACCCATCATCAAGCTCTAGCTGTTTTAGGCTGAATTTTTAATTTTTTTTTTTTTTTACGTTTTTTTTTTTTTGTTTTTTGTTTTTCCCATGAAGTGATAGCGGTCACCAGACGCCGGTCAGGAGCGGAGATCAGCCTAATGCAATAAATACAAATACGCAATAACCCGTTTTATTGTGCGATCCAGGTTCCGGCTCTCTACAACTCAAGAGATATGGCGCCCAACACCACGCATCTTCCAGGACTCCTGCAGTCGCTGGTGACCGCTATCACCCTCTGTATTTACTTTTTGGTTTGGTACCATGGTGGGCTGTTGTTACAAGTGAACTTGTATCTAATTGTTCAATACTCTGTATGGGCAGATTTGTGTACAGATTACATGGTTCCATAATACTTACCTGTCTTGCAGAATTAAAAAGAAAATATTTTCCTGATTGATGAGCCTGTGTTGTGTGTTTGGTGTTTTTTTTTTATATATATATTTTTTTTTTTTTTTTTTTTTTTTTTCTTTATATTTTTTTTTTGGGTTTTTTTTATTGTTTTTTTTTTTTTTTATATTTAAATTGTTTTGATTATTTTATTTATATATATATATATATATATATATATATATATATACACAATTGTGTTCAAAATAATAGAAATCACAACATGAAGAAAAATACATCAAATTTGTGTTGTTCCTCTAAAAAAATGGAAGAAAAGTGAATATTAGACGGTTCAAAAAAAAATGACAGTGTTTGTATTCTTCTTTACAAACTCAAACATTCACTATATAAACTGAGAAATGTTTGAAGATTTTGCTTTCCTTTGAATGACTTCATGAATATTTGGTTGTAGTCGCACTGTTTCTGAGAACTGCTGTACATCTGTGTTGCATGGAGTCCCCCAACTTCTGGCCCCTGTGATCAGGTATTCCAGCCCAGGATGATTGGACCACATTCCACAGTTCTTCTCTATTTCTTGGTGTTGCCTCAGAAACGGCATTTTTGATGTCACCCCACAAGTTTTCTATTGGATGAAGATCCGGGGATTGGGCTGGCCACTCCATAACGTCCATCTTGTTGGTCTGGAACCAAGATGTTGCACGTTTACTGGTGTGTTTGGGGTCGTTGTCTTGTTGGAACACCCATTTCAAGGGCATTTCCTCTTCAGCATAAGGCAGCATGACCTCTTCAAGTATTCTGATGGATTCAAACTGATCCATGATCCCTGGTATGCGATAAATAGGCCCAACACCATAGTATGAGAAACATCCCCATATCATGATGCTTGCACCACCATGCTTCACGGTCTTCACAGTGTACTGTGGCTTGAATTCAGTGTTTGGGGGTCGTCTGACAAACTGTCTCCGCCCACTAGACCCAAAAAGAACAATCTTACTTTCATCAGTCCACAAAATGTTACGCCATTTCTCTTTAGGCCAGTCAATGTGCTCTTTGGCAGATTGTAACCTCTTCAGCACACGTCTTTTTCCCAACAGTGGGACTTTGCGGGGACTTCTTGCAGATAGCTTGGCTTCACATAGGGGTCTTCTAATTGTAACAGTCCTCACAGGGAACGTCACACCTTCTTTCATCTTCCTGGAGCTGATTGTTGGCTGAGTCCGCCCCATTTTGGCTATTCTTCTATCCATTCCAATGGTAGTTTTTCGCTTTCTTCCGCGTCTTTCAGGTTTTGGTTGCCATTTTAAAGCATTTGCCATCATTTTAGCTGAGCAGCCGATCATTTTCTGCACTTCTTTATATGTTTTCCCCTCCAATCAACTTTTTAATCAAGGTACGCTGTTCTTCTGAACAATGTCTGGAACGACCCATTTTCCTCAGAATTTCAGAGAGAAATGCACTGTAACCAGCATGTCCAACATTTGCTGCCTTCCTTCCTTAAATAAGGGCAATAATTGCCACCTGTTTATCAAAGAATGAATGACCTCACTAATAGAACTCCACACGGCTATTATTTTGAACATGCCCCTTTCAATGAGTGATTCAATGACACAGAATCAGCAGCATGCATGTCATGACTGTTGGGTCTGTTGGATTTCTATGACTCTGCTACACCTGCTAGGAAATTATTTGCCATGTAGAAATATCATTTCCACCAAAAACAGCGATTGATCCGGTTAGTGATGTCTGACTGCTAGTATTTTGAACACAACTGTATATATTAGTGTTTTTATATTATTTTTTATATTGTTTTTTTTATTATTTTATATATATTTTTATTTTATATTGTTTTTGTTTTGGGTTTTTTTTTTTATATATATATATATATTTTTTATATATATTATTGTTTTTGTTTTTTTTTTTTTTTTAATATTGTTTTACATAACGGCTTGGTCCATACAAACATGCGCACTATCACTGTTGAAGCACGAAAGATTATCGTAGCTGGGACAAGTTCGGGGATTTCCAGAAAGTGATGCAGCTGAACATCCAGGACGACTCGGCCCGACACGGATCTGGACGCTTCCCAAGCGCTGTCCACCAATGGACATTAACCCTTCGTAGCCATCAACACCCAGACCAACATTAGACATGGCCGCCTGCGTAGCTTCAATAGGCGATAACTGAGTTGAATGTCTTAGGGCCCATTTACAAATGTGCTTAAAGTGGTGGTAAACCCTTCCTTACACCCAGAGAAGGGACTGACCTCAGGTGCTACAGAGATGAAACAAATCATACATACGTTGTACCTGTTTATCTGCAGTTTGCCCTTCTTCACGTCTGTTCAAAGGGTTGATTTTTTTTATAAAGCTTGTCTGAGAGTTCAGAAAGAGAAAGGGGGCAGAAAGCTGAAATTACAGTTTAAAGGGAAACTCATCCAAATGAGCGCAGAGAGGCCACTCCAGGTGGAAACGTGAACAGTTATTCGTGGGCTCACCACTGCTGCCTTGTTAATCATATGCATGATGAAGAGAAATGAAAAGATCAGGCGCTGTGGAAAATGCTCTCAGTCAAGCACCCTAATGAAGGTGCATCTTTATTAAGTGACACAAAGTAGCAAATATAATAAAATTTGACCAGCCTGAAGTGAACAGTGTGACTCCAAACACCTCAGTCTGCCAGCCTCAGCTCTGTTCCTTCCATTCAGCCCGCTGAGTTCCGCAGTCACAGGCTGTGTCCTGGAGCTCCTTCCTCTATCACCAATTTTCTCTCGGTGTTTTGCAAAAACCTGTCAGAAGTGACTGATGCAGATCATGAAGGAAGGAGGCAACAAACAGAAATGACACTCAGTGCTCTGGATTGAGACAAGTACACACTATAGAGGGATGTGCTTTGTTCATATTTTGTGTCTGATGTTTACAACCACTTTTGAATGCACACAAAAAAGAAAAAAGTTCATGTTCCCATCTGCATGCTGCAGCGCCTTTTAAAAAATAAATGTCTAAATTCTTTTTTGCATTTTAGTGCATTGGGTGATCCATAGAAGTCAATGGCAACGCATGTAACATTTGCTGGACGCATTGGCAACAGGTATTATCAGGCCTTGGTCAATGGATGGTGAATCTGTCCACTCCAAATACAAAATGCGTTGGAAAATGCGTGTCAAAACACAAAGGGCATTATGTAGGCCCATGACAAAGCACCAGCCTAGTGCTACAAATAAAAAGAACAGCTCCGCACCCATAGACCTCGATGGGCTCCAAATTATTTTTAGATTGGAAAACAAGGGCCGAAGGCTGTTGGCTGGTAGACTTGAAAACCTATCCTCTGTGTATATAGAGAGATACTGTGAAGGTCGGGGCGATATATTTGTAACCCTCAGGCTCTCCATAACAAACTCGCGCTCACTGAAAAATGAATGATCTAGTCCCAACATTCATAATCCTTCCTTAGTGGAAACATTGTTTGACGGTCCAGTGGAAGAAGAGGAGTTCACATCAAGATTGTTAGTAAGACCACGCTTGCTCCTTTCCAGGGAGCTCATTGGTCGGCAACAGTCCTGCGCATGCTTGACTGCATGGAGCCCCGGAGCTGTCCATCCACATCCTCTTTTCCTGAATACACTCATGTTTCCACCATCATGCTGATCACATGGTCAAGAACCATACTGATTGTGAGTTGAGACCAGAGAAGGTACCTCTATGAATGCACCATTCGTGTTCACAAACCCAGATTAGGACAATTGCTCTAAAATCTGTTGTCGCTGCTGCTGGATAACCTAACTTTTCAAATGAGATTTGTGATCGCCTTCATGCGGTCATATCTAGTAGTAGTTGATCTCATGGATCCAGGTCACATGATATCTAGTAGTAGTTGGTCTCATGGGCCCAGGTCATGGGATGCCTAGTAGTAGTTGGTCTCATGGATGCTGCTCATGTTGTCCCCAGTAGTAATTGGTCTCATGGGCCCAGGTCATGGGATGCCTAGTCGTAGTTGGTCTCATGGATGTTGCTCATGTTGTCACCAGTATAATTGGTCTCATGGACCCAGGTCATGGGATATCTAATAGAAGTTGTTCTCATGGATCCGGGTCACGGGATATCTAGTTGTAGTTGATCTCATGGATCCGGATCATGGAATATCTAATAGTATTTAGCCTCATGGACCCAGGTCACAGGATATCTAGTAGTAGTTGGTCTCATGGATCCTGGTTATGGGATATCTAGTAGGAGTTGGACTCATGTATGCTGCTCATGTGTTCCCCAGTAGTAGCTGATCTCATGGACCCAGGTCACGGGATGTCTAGTAGTATTTGGTCTCATGGATGCTGGTCATGTTGTCCCTAGTAGTAGTTAGCCTCATAGATCCAGGTCACGGGATATATAGTAGTATTTGGTTTCATGGATGCTAGTCATGTTGTCTCTAGTAGTAGTTGGTCTCATGTACCCTGGTCCTGGGATATCTAGTAGTAGTTAGCCTCATGGACCCAGCTCACGGGATGTCTAGTAGTATTTGATCTCATGGATCCTGGTCATGTTGTCCCTAGTACTAGTTAGCCTCAT